CCAAATCAAAGAAGTAGCAACTTGGAAATAATTTTTGATAAATATTCAGTATTAATTAGCAAATCCAAGCAAACATTATACATCTCATATTGTCTTTGGAGTTGCTTACTTGGTTACAACTTGAACTTTATTTGGATCCATCAATAAGCCTTCATTAGATATAATATATCCAAGAAATTCTACTTTTGGCTAATGGAATATATATTTTTCTAATTTGGCATATAATCCTACATCTTGTAATTTTTGTAAGAGTAATCTCACATGTTTTTTTTATTTTTTTAAAAATCTTCGAATAGATTAAGATTTCATCAAGATAAAACACAACAAACTTATCTAAGAAATCTTAAAGAGCATCATTCATCAAATGTTAGAATATGATTGGATCATTTGTCAATCCAAAAGATATGCATTTGTTGGAGATTTAAAATACCAAATAAAGTTCTTTGCAAGTTTTTTGTCAATATAATCTTTCAATATCAAAAGTTGATTTTATGATAGATTGTAGATTGGACTAAATAGTTTTTGAGCCTTTTTTTGATGATTGTTGGCACAATCATATAGTTGATACTCCAATAATATATCAATATTCTTTTTTTTAAAGCTATCTTAAAACTTCTTATATTGCTCTAAGATAGGTACTAATAAGCTTGCTTCTTCATAAGTTGGAGTTGTATAAATGACAAACAACATTTTTTTCTTAGCTATCTTCATAAAAGCCATTGCTTTATGAAATAAAGGCTTTACTGTTGATGAATTTTTAATAGGTTTTAATCCAAAAAATTCTCTAGAAAATTTTTATCTTATAAAAATTCTAATGTATAGATGGATTCTATCTTTTTTATCATAAAAGTTCTAGAATAATAGCATTGGATGAAATTCTAATAATATAAAATATTATTTTACTACTATGGCCCTTAGAATGATATTTCTAGTAATATAGTCTCATGAGTAATAAATATCTAAAGATAAAGATTGACCATCTATTATTTCTATATTTACAAGTTTTGACTTCTATATTAGAGGGATTTTATAAAATTTAAAGCACTTCCTATCTAAAAAGAAAGTAGATAATCTTGAATCTAATAAGATATTTATTTGATTTTTTTGTGGATGAAGACATAAAGGTGTAGTAAAACAACAAGCAAGTTGAATAGTGAAAGAGAGACCTTGATGAATTTGAAGAGTTAAAATGTTCAATTATATAGTGTCTATTATTACTAGGCCTTTTTATTTTCTTAAATAGTTGTATTTTTAGTCTTGGATGTAAGTTTTTTCTTTAGATAATTTTCAAATTTGTAGCCTTCTTCATTATAATACAAGCATAGATCTTATTCAATCAACACTTCTTTTCTTTTGTTGTAAGAAATTTGAATTATATATTATCTATTTGCATATATTTAACTTTGTTATTATCTGGGACTTAGTTCAAGTACATCAAAAATATATAGAAGATAATTGACTTTATTTGTAAGAGGAGTCTATTTTAATGCTTATATATTTATAAATTTAAATAGAATTGAAAATAAGAAATTATTGGCTTGAATGGATTATTTAAGCTTTGAGGGTATTGTCTTTTATTATAGATATTCGACTCTTTAATGGTATTAGAAGAAGATATTGATAAAGATTTTGGCATTAAGTTGGATTTTTTTTGTCTTTTTGTTTAAGTAGGAGTGTGTACGAGGAGGGTCACTGTAGTTATAAATCAAGAAGTTTTAAGACTTATTCCGGATTTTCGATGCCACTTACTAAATTTTCATCTTTTTGCATTAAAATTTAGAAAGAAACTAGATCTTATTGTTAATTTTTCAACAAGCTTTAGCATGCAAGAATAAGATTTGTGATGAAAGAGATCCAAGTTAGTTTTTAGATGGAGATTTTAAAGTCACAAATTGCAATAAGTACCCCATTTTTTTCCCTTGGTTTAGATCTCATTTTCTCAATTTATTTTTATTGGTTTTAAAAATATGAAGTTTGTATCTTAAATTAAGCTCAATGAGTTAAATTTTTATAGGTTAAATTAATAATTAATAAATTATATGTATTTTAGTGAAAAGAGATTTGGATTTGAGATTAAAACTAGGACTTGTATGCATCTTATCACAAGAAAGAAATTAATCTAAAATTTGTTTTAGGCCTTTGAACTATCTTTTTTTATATTTTAATTCTCTTAGGCATTATTATACTTCTTACAATCAACTTGCAACCATGGATCATATGTTGTCCTAAAGAAGCTTTCCTTCTTGATACCAAAATATAAAAATAACATATTTGTTGAAGCAATAGAGTACAAATTTTTAGTGTATTGCTTTGTCAAAGTTCATAAGTATTGATCTTGATGGCATTGAAATAATCAATTATTACACTTCACAGCTTGATTGATAGCTTTATTGAAATTTTGATGATTAAATAATAATAATAATAATAATAATAATAATAGATCTTCGATATCATTCCTTAGTCTTTAATAAAATTGTCTCATAAAAGCTTGATCATCCCAATTGATGTCACAAGCCAATTGCCTAAAATCAGATGCATAAATTGATGCAAAGCATGATCTTTAACATAATGAGCAAATCTTTTTTATTGCTCATGAAGCCTTGTCATATTTTCTAAATGCTTACATGAATGCTTCTAAAAAAGCTTCAAAATTGCTCAAAATTAAAGATCTCTTTTTAATTAAAAGATCAAATGAAGATAAGGCTTATTTTGTGAACAAGGTTTTAATTAAAACAACTTGCAACTCCTATGTTGAATAGCACTCAAATTTTAGAAAAGTTACCAATTGAATTTGCTCAATAAACCCTTAGAACTTTGGATGAGTGTCGTCAAATGTTTTTGAAAGACTAATATGAGGCTCTTTATATTGTTGAATTGATAAATTTTCTTGTTGAGATACAAATACCATTGTCTTGTTAGATATAGAAGCTTAAGAAAATAGTTGCATCATAGGCTGCTTACTTAAGGTCTTATATTACTATGAAATCTTGCAAAAAATTCTTCAATTGTAGTAATTTTACAAGCTAAAGTATTTAGTGTGTTTATAATAATATCTAACTTAGACTCATAAGATTCAACCATATTAACATCTTCACCTCCAACCATCCTAAAAGATTTTTTTTTTTTTTTTTTTTTTTTTTTTTTCAACAATGCTAGTTTAAAGGAGGGTAGTTTGTAACTTCTAAAGCATTTAGATGCCTTTATGAAGAAGGATAATCCAATCTCCATGAAAAAGGATTAAGCTCTAATATTGATAAGAGGGCAATCTTTACAAATTATCATAGATATATTATAGAGGATATCAAATAAGAAGTTGAACAAAAGAATTTCAACATGAAAATTAATAAGAACTTGATTAAATTAGATGAATATAAGATCAATAGTAAAGAAATAAACTAGATCTCTAAGAGATATATTGTTAAGGTTGAAGATCCCCTCAACATCCGCTCTAATATATATTAGGTATTAAGAATCTTCTTGAAAAGATTTTATGTTGCTTGAAGATGAAGCAATCATATGAAGCTTCTCAAACAACTTTGTTAATCTTCATAGAATTTTTTAGAATCTACTAGAATATCCTAAAAATTATTTTAAATCTTTTATAAGATTTAAAAAATACTTTTAGAATCTTATAGAATCTTCTATAACTTAATAAAATATTCTAAAAATATTTTAAAAATCTTCTTATTCAATGTCTATAACAATGAAAGCTAAGAATTTGGCATTAATAAGCTTTTGTTGGAGAGAATTAAAGCTCATATGTTAAGAACTACAATCCTTGAAGCAATTGGTTTATAAACAACTCTTTAGTAGGCCAAAGCATCTAGAATTATTAGGAAATCATGTACATTGGTGATTTGAAATAATGAGACTTATCCAATGGAAGATCTATGCACTAGCCAACATTATGGCTGAATTAAAAAATCTTCTATTACATTGTATTGATAGATGCTGCCCCACCTTCACCTCAAGATTATGTTGTATGGAACAATTGTATTTACAAAATTACAACGCATAGAAGAATGTTATTTAATAGAGAAAGTTGAAATATTAGAATAGACTAAAGATTCAATCCTTTGAAAATGTGACTTGGAGAGAGAGTAAAGAGGGTATTGATTGATCTGAGCCATAAAGACAAAGCTTATGCAGTCTAACTTTGTCAGCCATCTACTTTGTGAATTTAGCCTTGTTCTTCAAAATCCACCTTGTGAATTTACCTTGCAAATTTTGAAAAAAAGCATTATCAAATTCTAATAGATGAGAATCTTGAATAAATGAGTGTCTTAGACGCAAAAAATAGGATTGTCTTTTCATACTCATGATGAGAGGCTTGGACAAAGGAGAGTCATGGGTAGTATCAATGGAGCTGCCTTTGTACTTATGGAAGTTGAATTAAAGGAGCTGATATATTTTGGGAGATGATGATCTGACTTTTCACATTGAGCCATAGTCATGAGCACACTGCATGGGGTGGATTGACATTGGACTAAAAAAATCATAACATGGCAAAGGGGTTTGGCTTTAACAAATCCCTATATTTATTACTAAGATTAAAGGATATATAGACTAAAATATCTGAAGTGCCAAGTGCAATTCAACAAAGAGCTTCTAACAAGTTATCAATGGCATGAATCTAAATGAGAATTATATACTTGATAGTAGTGAAACTACAATGGAGGGAAGGAAGTGGTGAGGCACATTTTGAGAAGGGAATTGGCCCCATGGGATGATGATGATGATAAGAAGAAGAGGCAATTAATTATCTCCGATCATAAAAAGACCATTCAACACTGTGCTAGAGACAGGCCTTGAATGAGAATCATCTCTCCTCATCCGGACTCTGTTCATTGGCCGTTCAGAGACGCATCAGGCGGGTGGATGAATGAATGGATGG